CACACTGGCAAAGCCATATAGCTTACACCTTGTCCTGAAACATCTGGTCTTCTCTCTAGATAAGTAACCTTTTAATTATATTTCCCCTGCAATTCCTCTCTAAAAATTCAGACTGCCCATATCTTTTCATCCTCCTTCAATTAGGACATTACATGTACAGAAAATAAAATATTTCAAATTAAAAGTCCATGTTTTATAGCTTTCATTAGTCAGTTAGTACATTGCAAAAGTTGTAGGTACTTTGCTTCAGGTTATATTAATAAATCAATTGGGTATCAAATAACAATGTAAATCAGGTGTAGAAACACATAATAGATAAACAGTTCTCAACAGCTTAAAAGTTCCAGTTTCAGTAGATCATTATCCCTTCAACCAATTAAAACCGTACAGACTGTCAAAGAGTGCTACTTCCACTTATCCTCTCTAAAAATTTCAGACTGCCCATATGTTTAGCTTTCATTAATCATTCAAGATACTGTAGGGATTAAAATACTTTGCTTCAGATTATATTAATAAATCAATCGGATATGTCATATAAATCAGGTTCAAGGCACACAGTAAGTATACAGATCTCATCAGTTTAAAAGTTCTAGTTTTGTCTATCTTTATCTCTTCTGCTAATAAAGCCATGCTAACTGTCAGAGCTACTTCCATTTGTTTATAAAATTTAAATTTATCTTGCTTTCTTTGAAAATGTCTCATCAAAATCATTGTTCTTTTGTGTCTTTGATTTTTGAACGTCTCATTCTCTTCTGGCCTGTTTGTATACAAAAACAAACAGCCTACGTCGTCCGTATTATGTCCAATTGACTCATCAAAGCAGTGGCTAAGAAAGTCTCTTATTGTAGATATTGAGTGTTGAAACAGGTCCTGTTGTTTTTCCTCTTGTGTAGAAATTGATGTCATCTGATTCTGTGTCTCTGTAATGTCTTGTTTTTTCCCTGCGTGTTTGATGTAATAAAATCCAAGACTTTGCGTGGCCGCTCGCATGGAGAGTTTTTCCCCCCCCCCTGTCTCTGGACAGATTTATAGGGGCAATCAAGTGTCTGTTTACAGGCTTAACTATTAAAGTAGAAGATAAGGTTGCTTATGGAGTCTTCGCCAAGATGATTTGTGGCGAGGTATGGAGGCTCTTTTGGGGGCTTGATGTAGCTATCCAGCCCCAAACTATGTGACCGGTCCTTCTGGAGCTTCTGCTTCAAGACAAACTGAAACTTCACCTGTTGTTGCCGCAAACAGGGAGCTCAGTTTAAGTCTTCTGCTTCCAGTTTCCTACTTCCGAGGAACCCTTGTCAAATCTGGAGGAGTCCAGAAATGTCAAGAAAGTCCCCTAAAAAGACTCCAAAGGTTGGTGAGATCCAGAGCTCTGGATTCTCCGACCACCTCGCTACTCCATCGCCCCTCCTCCTCCAATGGTTTGTTAATTTTAATGATTTTTATGCTTCCTTTAAAAATAATTTTATCATGTTTTACTTTGTGTGTTGCCTCAAACTGGTCTCTGAAGGGGTGACATATAAGTAAAATAAATAATATAGAAAGTTTAAATAAATAAAATGCTTGAGAGCAGTGAGTGGAGCACCTCAATCACTGAGAATGGCAGATGTAAAATGCAGCATGTGCTGTTGCATGGGCCACTGCTTGACACTTAAGCAAGGGACAACATGTGTTTATGATTCTGCCAACCCATGTCATGTCCAATATATAGCATAAAATGCTAGCCAGGCTAAAGGGATCCCAGCTGCTCCCCATTGTGTGCTCCAAGTGTAAATGTATGCATGAAGAAATGCACCAAAAGATGTTACAGCATAACCTTGTTTGTGCTTTGCAGAACATTTGTATCACTAGAACTATCACACCTTCAGCATTAATGAAGATCATTTCTCCAAGAGATTTCTTAGATGTGGTTCTAATTAAGCAGGATGAGGATGGGACAATATTATCAGCAGGTAAGTTGGTTAAAACCCATTAGGGTCAGTACACAGGTTCCTATAGATGACTTGCAGCACAATCTTAAGTATCCTAAGTCCACAGGAGCCAGTGGGCCTAGAAGGGTGTGTAAATGTGCTCAGGATTGCAGTGTTGGTTTCTCAGCAGGGACAAGGTGCAGGTTTGAATTGGAAAGCAGAAGTGGAGTTATCTGAGAGTTCTCTCACTTTGGCATTTTGCTGCTCCAGCTCACAAAATCTTATGCTTTGATAAATCTGTTAGTCTCTAATGTCCTGTGGCTGGATCATAACGGTGAGGGAGTCAGCAATGAGAGAGAGGACCTCCAGCGGTGCCACCTTCCTGTCCTACAGGCACCAGTCCAAAATATTTTTGTATTCGTAAGATTTTGACTGAGTGGTTCCATTTTTAAAATCTGTTTTTATGGTCTTCATGAGGACAGTTTTAGGTGTATTACTTTATGTCATTTTATGATGTTTTCCTGTAAGTGATTTTCATCCTTTAAGTCATAGCTATTCTGCTGTTCAGCAGCATAATCTTGTGGCGCTTCAATGGGAGAAAGGAAAGTTGAAAGACGGATAATTCTTATGTTGTTTTTATGATTTTGTTCTATTTCTTCTTGGGGAGCTGCCTCAAGCAGGACGCTGAAGAAGCAGCATGCAAACCCTTTCAATAAATGATAATTACATTAAAGAGATAGACACCACAAGCAAGAAGTTGAAGAAAAGGTTGGGAGAGGTGGAAACGAAGCAGAATTGCCAAGAGAATCGGGTTTTGCAGCTACAGATGGAAAAAGCTAACATGATTCTCAGGTTTCAGGGGGTTCCTGAAACGGATCAGCAAGACTTGAAGAGGGTGCTTGGTGAGCTCATCGCTCCAGAAGTAGGTTTAACAGCAGATGAACTGGTAAACGAAATGGAGTCAGTCTATAGGGCATACTCCAATTACATTAAAAAAATAACCTACCTGGAGAAATAGTGGTTAGGTTTTTACATTCCATTTGAAATTAGACAAAAGAGGAAAAATTATAAGGACTTAATTTCTTTTCTTCAAACTAATGGGATATTGTACAGGTGGGCGGTTCCAGAGGGTGTCATCTTTAAGATCAATGATAGAAGAGAGAAGATAGACTCTACTTTTAAAGCTAAAGAATTTTTGAGACGTCAGCTGGGGACAGACAAAGAGTCCAAAAAGGAAGAAATGAAGTCTAGTGACTCTGCTACCTCAGGAACGGATGAGGATTCTGCAGCAGAAAAGGGTGCTGGACCTGCCAGAGTGGTATACGATTTTAGAGACAGAAACCCAAAGTAAAGGCTGAAGGATTTGGAAAATGGCCTTTTGAAGCGATGAATAAGAAGATGATCAGAGACTTCTCTCATAACAACTAACAAAATAACATATAAATAACAAATTGTTATAAGCAAGAACTCTACAAGTATATTGTGATATTAAAACTAATTGTACTAAAAAGTAGGATGCTAGTGGAAACTTTGTCCTGTAAAAAGAAGTCCCACAATTTCAGATACCAGTCGCTCAATAGCAGCGTCTTCTTAGATTTCCAATGAAATGCAATAACATTCCTAGCAGCCGCAAGACACAATTCTATCAACTCTTTCACAAGCCCATTGGGGGCAGGATCGCTCCAATGATTCAAAAGGAACAAGGAGGGTTGTAGTTGGAGGGCACAACCTGTAATTAAAAGTATTTGGGCATTGACTTCTCTCCAGAAGGCCTGGACCTTGGAACACTCCCACCAGCAATGAATATAGGTGCCACGGCCCCCACAATTTTTCCAACATCTGTCCAAGATCGCGGGGATTGTACTAACATTTTTACTAACAGTGAAAAGATCTCCTCCTCTTGGGGTTTTAGTTTAGTGTGGTTTGCTTTCCTTTATCCTTAGTTGTAGTCCCTTCCCTAATATTTCTTTGTAGTTTTTGTAGTATTTGCAAAATAAAAAAATATCCCTCCGAGGATTTAAAAATAAATAAATAAATGATAATTACAGAATGTTTTGTTCAAAACACTAAAAGCAGTTTGAATGGAGCACAGTGGAAGGTCTTGAAAGGGTGGGTGGTGGACAGAGAGAGCCCAAATCCTGCCTCGCCCCCACCATGCTGTCCTCATGGATGACTCCAGCTCTCCCAGTTTACACAACTTTCTGTTCCACAGTTCTTTTGTGGCAAGGATTTTCTTCTATCCCCTTGTGTTACATTTGTTTTTTTAAATTGTTTGCAACAACTACATTTTGTTTCCATACCCTTCCTCCCTCCTTGCAGCAACCAATGTGGAGCATCCACAGTGTCCACCTGAACCAGGTTACGTGAGGGGACGGAATTATCCTTGCGGCTGTTTCTGCATTCCTGTCCCAGGGTAAGACTTATTTACCAGTTAGAACATAAGAAAATAAGAGAAGCCATGCTGGATCAGGCCAATGGCCTGTCCAGTCCAACACTCTGTGTCACACAGTGGCCAAAACCCAGGTGCCATCAGGAAGCCCTCCCACTGCTGCTCCCCAATCACCAAGAGTACAGAGCATCGCTGCCCCAGACAGAGTGTTCCATCTATAGCCACTGATGGACCTCTGCTCCATATATTTATCCAATCCCCTCTTGAAGCTGTGTATGCTTGTAACCACCGCCACTTCCTGCAGCAGTGATTGCCACATGTTAATTACTTTTTGGGTGAAGAAGTAATTCCTTTTATCTGTTCCAAGCCTCCTGCTCATTCATTTCATTGAGTGCCCACGAGTTCTTATATTGTGAGAAAGGGAGAAAAGTACTGCTTTCTCTACCTTCTCTAGCCCATGCATAATTTTGTAAAGTTCTATCATGTCACCTCTTAATCATTGTCTGTCCAGTCTAAAAAGCCCAAACTTCTTCATCCTTTCTTCATAGGGAATGTGTTCCATCCCTTTAATCATTTTAGTTGCCCTTTTCTGCACCTTTTCTTTTTTGAAGTATGGTGACCAGAACTGTACACAGTATTCCAAATGAGGCCACACTATATATCATGTAACAAACTACAGAAGTAGTTCAGTGTAAACCGCTCTGAGACCCATTGGGGGTCATGGGCGGTATAGAAATCAAAAATGTATGTATGTATGTATGTATGTTACTGGCTGATTTGTTTTCAAATAATCACTTCCTAATAATCCCCAGCATAGCATTTGCCCTTTTAATTTCAGTCACATACCGAGTCAACATCTTAAGTGAGTTGTCTACCAGTTACCACCAGTTCAGACCCCATAAACTTATATTTATAGTTAGGACTTTTTGCTCCAATGTGCATTACTTTGTACTTGCCCACATTGAACCTCATTTGCCACATTGACGCCCACAGATAAAAGTTACCTCTCTCTAATTCTGGGCAGTGCATGTTCAATTAGTTAGTTTTTGGATCTATAATACCAGAAGCCCTAGCCTGTGTGGTGGATGGAGGCATCTTGAGGAAGAGTGAATCTACCCTTGTCACATTCACATGAACATATGGCACAGTAGTTGAGGTATATACTCTACTTTAAAGAGGCGTCTGTAGTGTGTTTTTTCCTCAGTTTCATTATTCCATCATTGTGAACAGTGCACAAGTTAGGAACGTGCCAGGATGTGTCTTAAACTGAGGTAACTGTTCACAGGAATTTGGCCTATATAAATTCATAATCCTTACACTGTGAAGTATCTGCCTATTTCCCCCCACTGGGGATATAGAAGCACACCCTCCGGGTTTGCCTTATTTTCATATAATTTGGGGTGGGGAGATGTTTACACTACTCTGTTCTAGAGAGTCAAACCTCCCACAGTAGGTTAATTAAGAGTTTGCTGATTGTCATCTTGCTGAGGGCAAAATGGTTTGCCAGTCTCTCAGGCAGTTTCCTGGTTCCATTTTGGAAGGCTGCCTTAAATGTCTTTATGAGAATATGAGACAAATTAATAAAGTAGATCTATCTAGTACATTTATACCTTGACCATCAACAGAGCTTAGGGCAGCGTTCTTCCCACAGACAGATGAACACATGAAGCTGCCTCATACTGAATGAGACCATCAGGCCATCAGACTGGCAGTGGCTCTCCAGGGTCTCAGGTAGTAATCTTTCACATCACCTACCACCTGATCCTTTTAGCTGGAGATGCTGGGGGTTCAGTGTAGGTCCTTCTGTGTGCCAAGCGGATGCTGTGCCTCTGAGTGACTGCCCCTCTCCAGGGTTTCTTCCCTACAAAAACCCTGTCAGGTAGATCAGACTAAGATAGAGTGCCTGGTGCAAAGTCACCCAGTGAGTTTCTTAGCAAATTGGCCGTTTAAGTAGTCCAGATCCTAGTCTGAGGTTATTAACTACACTATATTGTGTGTTTACGTTTTTTCCTCCCCCAGGGACTCAAGCAAAACCCAGTTGTTCAGCTTCTTCCAGAGTGATCTATGCGGCAACCTCCCTCATTCGATCGTCGACTCCTTCTTTGCAAGCAGCATAGCTGAGTTTCACAGCAATCTGACCAAAGCGGTGAAGACGCTCGTGGCTTAAGCAATTTTTTTTCCCTCTAAGAAAACTGAACCGGCAGAGTTTTTATATAAGTTTGCAGTTCTGCAACTGAAGTTGGGCAAGGACAGAAATTGATGCAGTATCAAGCACTTGGAAATCCCATTGATATTTCAGTGGGAAAGATGTAACTTGTCCACTGAAATAAGTGGAGCTTAGAAATTCTGTATAGTTGGCTGGAAGAAATTCTTCCAGCCTAAGTATTTTTTCTAAGTTGTGGTACTTCCATTTGACATAGAGCACTGAACATTGGTTGAATCATGTAATCTCTTTTTTCTGTTTGTTTTTTTAAAAGAAACAACAAGTTTCTTGTCCACAAAGCTGGAAAGTATGGGTGGAATAGGCTTGAAAGTATGGGTGATGTCTATTCAGGTTAAGGGCAAAGGCTGATCTGGATTTCAGGGTTTGGTGCTCTGTGTATTTCTTCACACCTCTTGGTGACTGTGTTGTGCTGGATACATGCCAGATGCTGCTTGTGTGCTGTGGTCTAGAATGTCCAGGGTGTGCCAGTGATACACCTGAACAGAGGGGGTTGCTGCCATCTCCACTGATACTCCTGTGGTTTATATGTGAAGACTTCTTGCCTGTGCTGATGCAACAGCAAACCATGCCCAAGATCCAGGCCTTCCTTGCATAGCAAGCAAACCTGCTGCTAGGACACTTCATGGCAGAAGAAGACTTCACATGCACCCATCTTGGCACAGAAACTAGTATACAGAGGCATCAGTAGCCATGCACAAGTCCCATGTGTCTTGGACAAGGAATTCTGTGTCCAGTGTCCTGGTGGAGTAATGCATGCGTGGAGCTCTGGACCATCATTTGACTAATAGTTTTATTGAATGGAGAAGACTTTGTGGTCAAACGTTCTTCATGCCCATGAATGTTTTGGGTTCAGGTATCCAAGGCCATGGACTAGAATGATGGATGGAATAGCTCAGTGCCAATTCTTCATCTGTTAAATGGGCATAAGAGAAATCTTGCTTGGTCAGCAGAATAACATGTTCTCAGCTCTTGGTGGACTGTACCACTTCAGACAACAGGGGAAGGGTGACATGTCTGAATGTTCCATCTCCCTGAGAATGCTTATCAAAAATATCCTAGTCCTGTCTATGCAGGGAGTTTTTATATGGGGAAAACATTCAAACTTGATAATGGAAACTGTAGTCTTTCTGAAGAGGTATCACTCCAGATCTGCACCATGTCATTACGCTAAATGTATGACTCCAAATACTGGCCTACCTTGCAGAGTTATTGAGAGGTATTGTACAGTATATTATTAATAAAAAGATGGTGATTTTTAAATGGTTGCTGATCTCTTTTGTGCTTTTGTTGCACAAAACCAGCAGTGGCCTGGGATAATTCTAAGTATACATCAGTGCTTAAAGCAAGGAAGATTGATTTGGTTGGCTGGGAATAGGGTTGAACTAATGGGGTTGCTAAGCTGCCTCTCCCTGGATCCAGGTTTGCCCAGTCTTGCATGTGCGACCCAAGCCAGGAGGGGATGTGTTTTCCCATCTGCAATGCAGTGCGTGCCTGTACACACCTACACACACATCATGTAACATAAATGGGGAGGGACATGTGGATGCAGCCACTGTCCTTTCCTGTCTGGTTCCTAATCCAACAAAGGAATCCATCTCTGCCAAAATTACATCAGTGGTCATTATTTCCTCATGCTCAGTTTATTTTGCTGTTAATTAGTCACTGAACCTGTCCCACCATAAAGCTGTTGTTTCATCTGTTACATCCATACATTTGGTTAGTAGAGCCCTTTATAACATGAGTATTCAGCTTGCAACAGGTGCTTTATTAATACTGAAATCACAAATGCTGAGCTATTATACACAAGCCTTCTTTTCTCAAATCAACGTGCTCTTGAGGTTGACATCATCTGTCCTGGGATCAGCTGTAGTTCTAGAAATAAATGCAAGCTTTTGGGTCCTTTAAAAGAAGCCATTCTGGGCTTATTTTATTCTTCTCCCCGGAAAGATTCAGCCGATCTGGCCCTGGAGCTTTTCCTCTTGATGACCACTGTAACAGGCCCGTCAGGTAATGTCTTGATGATGTTCCAGGCTTCAAAACGCGTCAGTCCTTGCATCAGGTTGGTGTGCACCTGCAGTAACTCATCTCCTGGCTGAACCGTGGGGCTCTGTTCTGATGGTACCCCTAATGGAAGCAAAGCAAGTTTTCCTTCAGTTACATCAGAAAGCATTTTACAAATATGATTGACCTTGCCTCATGTTCAGTGTTTTTGGGGAAAGTCCCCTCCCCCCCGCGCTTACCACAACATTGTGGTGCATTAATGTGCCTCTCGGGGTTTCCCTGGCTTTTCTTCAATCTTTCCCAAACCTGCTTTGCTGCAAAGTTCTGGGAAAGATTGCAGCAAAGTTCAGATGGTTGCAATGTAGGTGGAAAAGTTTGGATTTTTCTGGTTCTGCCCACATGGCAACCATTTTCGTTTCCCCTGTCCTCACAGCCCCCATTTCCTTCCCTGCCAATGGTGAGCTTTTTAAAAATTAGGCAACTGAAGATTGTTATAATGTTGTAGCACTCCCAGATTTCATTTTTTAAAAAAGCTTTAGCTCCTTTTGTTGTGGAGACACAAAGGAAAAGGCATATTTCTGCAAGTCAAGGGGCTAGAGACTTGCTTTCCCCCTGCAAAGGATTGTTAGGAATTCAGAGAACCTGAAACACAGATTGTTGTAACAATACTCAGTTGTTGATTATAAAAAACAACAACTGGAAAAGCCGTGGTGTCATGGGGGGGTGGGGGGAATGGATGGCTGCTGCCAGGTGATTGAGGTAGAGAAACTGTGGGGTAGCCATAGCAACACTGGGGAAACCGCACAAGCCTGTCCTCATGTGAAGAACACCCTTCTTAACTAGAGTATCAACCAAACATCCAAGCAACACAACTTACAAATGGTTTGCAGATGGAGAGTGGTTCCAAACTTTCCACGCACTTATACTTGAACTATTACCTCCCACCATGTCTTTCTTTCATCGGCTACCTGTCTCTGTTTCTGCACTGCTTATACTGTCCCACCTTGACCACTATCCAGTCAAAGCTGAGCACTTTGAAGTCCCGTAGATTTCAACAGATATTTTGCCACATATTTTACAAGCCTTGAGCAGGTTAACTATCTAAGCAAAGCCACAAGTAGAGATATTGCCAGTCTTTGGTTTCTGTAGTTTCATTCTTCACCACATCTGAATTTTACATAGTTACATCTCCTGCATGCCATAGCCCTTTGATCCCACTGCATTGAAAAAAAAGAAAAGAAAGTCATCATACCCCCGTGTTTTCTGTACTGGCTTTCATCTGCCAGAATGGACTCTGTTCTATGAAAGGAGTGTGAACAGAATCAGAGTTTGAAAACCCAACTGGAAAGGAAGTATTCAATGTGTTTCCAAAAACCTGTGGCATCTGGAAGCATCCTAAGACTCCAATCAGACTTGATGCTGCAAGATCCATGGGTTTTTTGTTTTGAACGGAAATAGCCACATGGATCCCTGGACCTTTGTGTTGTGGGAAAGGGGAACGTTAACCTCCCCCCATGCCATGATTTCACCAGTTGAAACACATACATGTAGCTGGTATTATCCAAGAAAGTAGAATAAAACATGATCATCTTAATCACAGATTTTTTAGCATTGCATCTGATTTGGTACTTATCGATATTTGAAATCAAAAGCAGTGAAATGAGAGCAGGGCCAAGTCATCCAACCCCTCCTGCACAGACAGGACCAACCATCCTCCTTCTATGGAGCAACCTATACAATGTACCACAAGCAGAAATCAGGTGTTTTTCATAACAGACTTCTTTATCTTTGTAAAATCAGAGGCCCCTTTGTTGATCTTCAAGGATTCCCTCCCAGCTGGATATTTTGCCACTTTTACCTTTAAAAAGTCTGTTGATGATTATGGGTTTATCTCCGTGGATGGAGCCTTTCCCGCCTTCTAAACTAAATCCTAAGCCTGCTGACGTCTTCTCCAACCTAACAGTGAAGATTATGTCTTCAGATGCTGAATGGAAAGAGAATACTGTTAGTAGGTGTGGTGTGCAGAGAAAAAGAAACTGTTCTGAGACTGTAATTTTTGAGGGAACTCAGATTACTTATGAGGGGTTTTGCAATAACAGTTTGGCAGCAACAGTTTTGGCAACACTACAAATCATCCGTTGCAATGTGCATTTGTGAAGGAACGTTAGGTATGCAGACATACCCCCTTCCTCTCGTCCTACTCTTTTGCCCTGGGGGAACAACCTTTGTGATGTGACTGGCATGAAGTTGCAACCCCCAAGTCTCACTAGAATCTGTTGACTCTTCTGATGTGGAGGAGTCGATGGACGCGTTAAAGCTTGTTTCTCCCTTCTGAGGTTTCCTTGTGACGATCACAGCTTGCTTTGGATGCCGAGCCCTTCTTAAGATCTCCAGTGCTTCGTTGTGAGCGGCACCCTTGAGAGACTTTCCGTTGATCGATAAGACTTCATCTCCTTTCTGAATGGTTCCTTCTTGGACTGCTAATCCACTGGGAAATACCCTGTGAACCTGTTAGAAAACCCAACCAGGAAAGCGGGGGAGGGGTTAAAGTAAGATAGTTTATGACTAACACTTCCAGCTTGTTGAATCTGGTGCAGTGGGACTTTAGAGGAAACTATTTTAAATATGCATGCGCATTTGTGAAATGGCAATCCCTGGGGGGGGGGGGGAGCACGGCAGCCTGATCACATGTCCCGTCGAGGTCCCATGGTTAGGCCGTTAGGTGCCGATCACACGGCTATTCTGCAGCATGGCAAAGAAGCGGAGTGGCGCGGCACGATCACACCGGCAATCGCTAGGCGCCGCTTCCGTGGCAAATGGGATTTTTTTTCACACCGAAGTTTGCGCATGCGCATGATCGTTTGTGCGGATCCTGTTGAGACTTACAAAAAAATATCTGGTGTGCGATGGGACATGGACGGGCGCTGGATGCCACGTAATTCAAGCAGAAACGCGATCAGACGCCCGCCCTTACCCCCGTGTTTTCTGGAAATAGTACATCGTATGTGGTAGTTTTTTACTCCGCATCTTCGGCGAGAAGCCACGGGTTAGCCACAGGTGTACTACACTTCCCAGATGTTGTGGTGTGATCGCGCACCGAAAATCCGCCTATCATCCATGTCTTTAGCATGGCAACTTCTCTGTGTGAAGTTCCAGGCATTTGTTACCTTTTTACAGGATGTTTTTGCAGCCTGCCAAAATAGCAAATTCATGGTGTCCTTACGAAAGCTTATGCCTTGTGGGAGTCAGCAGTATATCACAAGAGAATTTCTCCTGGTTGCTTTTTAAAATACCTCCTTATAATCGGACTCGGTGATCAAGTTGGGCCTTTAGACACGAGGAGGTGTATCCAACTGGCTGACTGGTGCAGCGTCTGAATTTTTGAGGGCCGTTAAAGGATGTTTTGATTGTTGAATGTTTGTTATTAATTTTCATTACCATGGGGTGAGATATTCTTCCCTCTGGTATCGAAATGTCTTGGAGCCAGTCTTGAGTTGTTCCCACCCACCCATTCTCACAGTTTAGGGAGTTATGTAGTAGTGGTGCCAATGCCTTCTTTTTTGTTCCCTGGGTGGGACAGAAGCAAGTGACTCACCGGGAAGCAGAACGGTAGGCTCCACAGGGAACAGCTGCCTTGCTATACCTCTGACCTAGATGTTTCATGGAATGCTTTCAGTGTGAACCACCAACCACCTTAACTTCTGCATTGTTGCCAACTGAGCTAGAGTGGTGTACTGGTTGGTGCGTTGGACTAGAACTAGGGAGACCTGGATTCAAATCCCCACTTCCTGTGAAACTTACTTGGGTGACCTTGGGCTAACCTACGTTTTAGCCTAACCTACCTCAGGGGTGGTTGTGAAGATAAAAATGGAGGAGGAGGGCTCATGCTGACATGAGCTACTTGGAGAAAGGGCAGGATAAATATGTCCGAAGTAACTGGCACGAAGGAGTGGATGAGTATAAAGTATAAACCACTTTAGACAAAAGTAAGACAGTCCGTCATCTGACTGTAGTGCTAAGACCAGAGCCATAAAGTGATCAACTCCGTACCCTAGCCAACAAAGCTGCTCTTCCCACTGCTCCACAACCAGGAGCCATTTAGCACAGGAAGACTTTTTCATCTAGTCACAAAAAAAGCCAAAAATGTGCTTAAGATAGATTTTTATAAGACAGTATCTCGATATTATCTACCAAAGTCTCAACTATCTTGGTATGGTGGAAATGTATCCCAGCCCCACCAGAAATAGGATTCCGCTGTATGGTGGAGATGCTCCATGTGAAAGCTAGCATCTGGATCCAGCTGTTTTTTTCATTCTCTCCCGGTTCCCCTCTTCACAACTACCCCATTCCATGTGGCTATTGTCTATTCAGGTCCCATTATACAAAGGGACACCCTTCGCCTTTTTTTCACTGGTGGAAAAGGTGGCTGGATCCAACCCTAGGTTTTGTAAGAATTATTGTGGTATCTAACTTAGTCCAGAGATCTTGGCACCTAGAAGGGCAAGTAAAATGACTTCTCTTGCTTGAAGCGGCTGATGGGTGATAAGACAACATGCTAGGTTTTTGAGGCGCCCCCCCCATTTTGCCTACATGCCCCAACTCTCCCTCTGCCTTGCAGACCACTTACAGTAATAGCTTTGTTTTCTAGGTCTGCTCCTCCAGCGAGGCTGAAACCAAGACCGGCCCCTTCTTCCTTGTGTAGAATTGTGACGTGAATATCACTGAATTGCTGCAAGAAGGAAAAGGAGAGGACTTTGGTCACTCTACAATAGAGATGTAGTCCCTGTGCTTCTAACTGTTGGGTAAAAGGAGGAATTTTGCTAGGTGCAGCTTTTCTTTGTGGAACATAACGACACAACAAGCTTCATGTAGCAAAATCTCCCTCTTCAGATTAACTGTTGAGGATTCCTTTGCAACACTGATAAATAAGCAGACTTCACAGAGCCCTTTCTGTCACTGATCAAACAAACTTTCTATGTGTGGCAGAGCTCACTACAGGCACCAGAAACACTAGCAAGAGTGTCTTTGTTGACTGCAAAGAACAGCAAGCAGCAAGGCTGTCTTAGTCTACTGATTGCCAGTGTTCCTGGGAAACCTTGGACATTTCCAGGGGTTCCTTGACAAGACAATCAGTAATGGCAGACAAGCTGCACTTGAGGTGACGTGAGGTCACTTAGTGGGGGAGAACACAGGCAGATTCAGGGACACCCCCACCTCCCTCCAAAAGCTCTCTTGCATTCTCTGTTCTCCCCGCTCCCCCGGCACATTCTAGTTTGTTCCAGGCATCTGTCATTTTTGCCAGTCAATCTGTGCACTTTAATCATGGTGCACCACACTGGTGAGGTGATAAGTCAGGCCCCTCTTCTTCCTGTCACATGACAGTGATGCCATGAGACTTCCTGTCCTATGCTTGCCACTCAGCGTGTCCCATGGAGGTTAGAGATTGAAAGTTGAGGACCACTGCCCTAAAACATACCATTGGCAAACAAGTCAATGTGGAATACCATTTTTTGCGGGGGGGGGGGGAGGACATTATATCAAAAGTTGGCACTGTAGAACTGTAATATGCATCACGTTTTAATTGTGCGGTGAATAGAATCTAACAAGTTAACGTATGTGAAGTACTCTTAACAGGAAAGCACTATCTGTATTATTAATATTGATTGAAATAGTTGCCCACAATATACCTTCTCTTCCTCTTTCCCCCCCCCCTTCCATTAATAATAATTTGGTGTTTAAATCCATAATGATTTGACCCCTCTCACCATTTCTATTTCTGACAAATAATTAAGTTTGGGGGCACAACCTGGCCCCATTTCAAAGGCCAGGTTGTGATTCCTCTCCGAACAGAATCCTGCCACGTCAAACAGAACCTAGGCTTAATCTTGGCTCTTGTTCACGTCTTGATGCTGAGTGATTTGGGGAGAGCCCAAGAAGGTGCTAATGGCATTTGACCAAGGAGGCCTTTTCTCATCTGGAAAGGACTACCACTGGCCCACAGAAAACAGGACAAAGTTTAAAGAGTTCCACACAACAGACTTACTTTTAACGTTGCCTCATCTAAAGATTTCACCTCCTCCATGAGCTTTCCCAGTTCTTCAGGGGTGAGGAGAGAGATAACAGCCTGCCCTGAAACACCCACAACTTGCGAGGAACTGCCGCTCTGCCTGTCTTCCTCTTTTTCATTCTCTGTCAGATGTGCACTGAAGTCCCTCAGCTCGGAGAGGCTGCCCAGTGTGGGAAGAGGAAATGATGTAAGAAGAGCAACCTGTTGGATCATCTGTTTTAGCATCCCGTTTCCCTCAGTGCCCAGTCAGATGACCCCAAAAAAATTGACGTGCAAGATGAGAGGCCTAAAACTTTCATCTATCATTTATTTCCAGAAACTGGCATTCAGAGTTACACTGCCTATGAATATGGAGGATCCATTTAGCCATTATGGTTACTAGCCATGGATGAATGTGTCTAATCCCCTCTTCAAAGTCTTCTTAAGCTATTGGCCATTGTTATATCTTTTGGCCGTGAGCTCAATATGGAGTGAAAAATAACTTCTCTTTGGTTACTCCTGAATTTGCTGTCCATTGGCTTCTTTGGGTGCCTCTCCCTACACTTTCCTCAGAGACAAACCTTTGCTGTGTGTCTGTGGCCTGCTTCTCTATGCAAGAGTACAGAAAGCGTAAACTGAAGAAGCTTTGAGCTGTTTGGAAGCCACAACTAAAATGATCCAAAGGCATCCCCAAGCCTAAGTGTTTTCAAATGCCCACCAGCATTCTGTGAATTATCTGTTCTGACTCATGCTGCCTGAGTTGCCACTCTGGAAGTTCATCCTACAGGGGGGAAGGTGCTGCAGATTGGGGGGGGGGGGGGGAGAGAGGCTGAAAAAAGCTAGAAGCCTGGGGAAAAATCGATAGAAGCTTCATTTGTGGTTTTATGGAATGCCCCCTGTAAACTGCTCCAAAGGGTGGTTTCCCTTTTAAATTTCTCTCTGACAAGTTTTCCCCAGTTTCTGTGATTATTGTCTACATTGAAAACACTGGGATTCTTGCAATACTTTGCAGTTGCAGCGTGGGGCATTTGCCTCGAATGAGTACCTCTGAGGCAGCAGCACATGCTTGAATTGCAGCACAGATGTCTGATGTCAAAAGCAGGGCTTAAGTCAGTGGGAGATACTGTCACACAGAATTGGGGAAGTCTTCAAGATAGGTCTGGAGGATTATGACAGTCTGTAGCCATTCAGACTTCTATGCTTGCATTTAAGAGATGGCTTTATTTAAAAGGTGCCTGCATTGGGGGAGGGGCATCTATAACCCAGGGTTCCCCCCCTCCAGCACACAGTACAAAGGTGTGCTGAACAGAGAACTTATTAAGATATTGGATTAAAGATCAAGGATGCGGTTTCAATAGAAGGCAGCAGAGCTGGAACTTTTCTTACTTTGCATGCTAGTATGTACTTCTCATTTTTAAGCTGGTGCTACTCAAGGGTAAAGTCCACTTCCTTTTTCGAAGCAAATTCAAATTTCTGTACCCATCTCGAAACTTTCCAAGCTTGTGCAAACATATTAGAAGCATGATCTCACATATCTCTTGGGGAAAGGTCATCTGGAGGCTTTTTGATACATGATGCTTAAATCTGTCTCTAATGCGAATACATGGGTGGAAGGGGATGAGTTTTCTGCTTAGCTTTCACGTTTCATCCCAGAGCATTACCACAGAGACCATCTCTTTCCACTTAGAACTTTTCTTTCTAACCATCACTTTATGTGTTGCTCCAGAAACCCAAACTGTTGAGAAGTATCTAGAAGTGCTATGGGGGAGGGACTGAGGTCTACTCCCATAGAGAGTTCATCACACAGCCAACTGGATCACACCCCGATAAGAAGGTGCTGTCTGTCACACCATCTGAGTCTTCTGACTAAACCAGCGGGCACTTTTGGGATACTGGGGTACTGTGCAGGGTATTCTCAGGTGTGTATGGGGGACGGGCTGGTTTGAATTGGGACCTTGGGGAGAGGAGGCTTAAGCCTTTCCCCCTGCTCTGCTTTCCTGTTCTGAAACAATTCCCAGGAGTCACCATCAACCCGCCTGTACTGAACTTTCCAGTCCAGACTATTAATGTTTGAACCGTCTCACCCTCTCACAATTTTAAAACCATTTTAAATGGAATGGTAGGGAATTTTTAAATGCCAAACCTTGATTCAGATTTGGTAGGGCCTTGGCAGTAAAGCAACTGACATGGCTCAGGGAGTTTGGTGGCCTGATATGAAATGCGTGTCAAAAGAAATTCACAAAAGAGGCTCTTACTTAAGGGAAAAGCTGGTGTCTGAGGAAGGAGTTTCACTCGCAGGAAAGAGAGAGGTCCCATTTTCGTCTGTGTGGAGCTTTGGCAACCCGTCATGTGACCTCCATGGATTTTTCCCAGAACTCAGCGAAGACTGCGGAAGGGAATGCAACGATTTCATTAAAGCTGATGAGAAGTGACTGCTGATAGAATAGATTTTGCTGTATTTTTCCTCTGTGGTCTTCAATATTTCAGAGGACTGGGCTGAGGTGAGGGGGAAACTTCGCACCCTCTGACTCGGCACTTTTTTGACTTGTGAGTTGGGTTCGACCCCTTGCAAGGAGAGTGGGTTCAAAGACACTTCAGGGAAGGTACTGCTGGTGGTTTTTGAACTGGAGCTGTGCTTCTCTCTTGAGCAATGAGAGGAATCGAGGAGACTTGGATCAAGTTGTGCCTGCAGGCAAGAGCTTTCAGCACCCTGGTGGTCTGTGTTCCCGGCAGTTCTGGACTCCTTCTTACTGGGAGAGTTTTCATTTGGGGTTGACAGCTTTGGGCTGAGTTTTCTGTTTCCCTTTTCGGGCGATTGTGGAGTGCCCAAACTTTCAAACGAGCTTATTCTTTGTTTTATTGACAATCCTCTAGCTGAGGTATGCCTTATCTTGGATCCCAGTTCGTTGTCGGAAGCACTCTGATGCTCGGTGGCATTTTGTCCTGCTGGTGTCGTTGCATCTGAACTTCCTTTCTTGAAGCCTTTTAGACTCTGACGAAACCAGGTTGGTTTAGGGGCTACTGGTGGGCCTTTCTTCACAGAGTCACCTTCGTCGGATGACTGGGGGGCTTTGCAATCTGCCTCTTCTGTATCCAACCTCTGCAGGACTGCTTTGGAGCAGCTAGGGGCCTGACTGTTCTCACTGGTGCTGATGTTGGTATGCAAGTTCAAGGGGCACCCGTCTTCCAACATACTGGGGCTAAACAAGCTTTTGATGCAATCTGAAATCCTGACCCAAGGGTCTTCAGTGCTAGCCTCCAAACTGTAATCTACCCTTGCTTGTCGTCTAAGGGCAGGTCTTTGGGATGATGGACTCTTCCCTGAATCAGAAAACATGTGATTAGAAACACCTCTGTTTCTGCCTCCCACCCCATAACCCTTCCATTGGCTAAGCTCATTTCTGATTGTCATGTGGCCCAACCAGAGGGAAGGAATGTGGAGGGAACTAATGGTCAGAGGGGTGGATTCAGCACCCTGCTCCTACCCATTGGTGCTGGAGTGTCAGACTAGGCTCCAAGAGATGCAGGTGGGAGTCCCCACTCTGCCATGGAAGCTTCATGCATGACCTTGGGGCAGTCACACACACTCAGCCTAACCTACCTCACAGGGCTATTCTGAGGATAAAATGGGTGCGAGGGGAGTTCTGCTAAGCCTCTTTGGGTTTTTACTGGGGAGAAAGGTGAGGTATAAATGAAATAAAATTGTCAGAGTGAGCGACTCAGCATGCCTGGACACTGGGGGGGTGCTACATCCCTCTAAGTGTGTACAGGTGTCATCTCCTTGAATGGGATGCCTCACTTTATTTTGACCTTGGAGCTGCCCTCTGACCCTTCCGCTCTCTCCCTTTGTCCTCTGACTCTCTCTTCGATTGAACTTCCATGGAGACACATGTCTCTGCTGGTCTCTCCCATAGAGACAATGCCCTCACACTCCCACACACATGATGCCGGACAAGCTGGCCATCTGTGATAGGGAAACATACTCTTTAGATTAGCCTTCTCTGTGTTCTTTGGACTGCAACCTGAGTGTTAACTGAATCTGCTTGAATAAATGTAAGTTTACCTTTTTTCCAATATTCTCCTAGGGAGATATATATACCGCACTCAGTCTCATGCTTCTATGACTGGGCAAACTCTGCTATATTAACCAAATGTCCCAATAAAAATAAAAATCGCCCTCCCCAATGCTTGCTTGTTTGGGACAGCCCTCAAAACATGGGTCTGCTGCCATTGTGTCTAGTCCCTCTGCCCCCATTTATACGCCTTTCTCTCTCTGTGGACTGCCAGGCCCTTCCTCTTTCCTGTTTCATCCTCACAACAACCTCCTTTGGCAGATTAGGCAGCTAAGGAGTGGCCCACAGGTAAGGCTGAACCTGCATGACAGTGCAGCCCTAAGCGCCATGGAACAGACCACCTTAGGAGGATTCTGCGTAGTGCTGTTTAAGAGGGCAGAGGAGTTCTCCTTAGTAGGGGAAAACCTGATGATGAACATCATTTATAACCCACTCTTCTCACTGAGACTCCAGATGGGACTACAAACTATGAAAAGCAATCCAATCAGACAGCAAAGACATGCAATGAACTTGGACTTGGGTTGCAGAAGCTAGAAAACAATGTAAATAAAACCCGCCCGCTATCCTGATCACAATAGACCTTGGAAGCTAAGCAGGGACAGCCCTGGTTAGTACTCGGATGGGAGACCACCAAGGGAGTCCAGAGTTGCTAGCTACGCAGAGGAAGGTAATGGCAAACCACCTCTACGCATCTCTTCCTTTGAAAACCCCATGCTGCTGGGGTTGCTACAAGTCGGTTATGACTTGATGGCACACTATCATCATCATCATCATCATCATTATCATCATTATTATTATCAGGGGTCTTTTAGTAGAAAAAGAGCTGCAGGAGCTAATGGTATGCTAATGAGCTACTAGGCTATTAGCATATGCCACACCCCCTGACAT